TAATCCCAACATTTGGGAGGCAGAGGCAGGTGGATCTTTGTGAGTTCCAGGCCAGCCTGGTCTACATAGTGAGTTCCAGGACAGCTGGGGCTACAATGTCTCAAAAAAAAAGAAGACAAAGTTAAAGTTAAGGGGCTGGATAGATGGCTCAGTGGTTAAGAACACTGAATGTTCTTGCAGAAGACCCGGGTTCAGATCCCAGCACCCACATGGCAGCTAACAACTGTCCATAACGCCAGTCCCAGGGGATCCAACAGCCTCTTCTGACCTCCGCAGGCATTCCATGACCCGGGTGCACTTACCTACATGCAGGCAATACACGCATACACATAAAATAAAATTTTAAAAAAGAAAAGAAATGCATACCCAAGGGCAGACCTTATAAGAGAAAATATAAATCAACATCCCTGGACCCAAATTTCCCCAATACTAGACTACCTTTCAGGGTTAGAAAACATGCCAGGCATGGTGGCGCACGCCTGTAGTTCCAGCACTTGGAAGGCAGAGACAGGCAGATCTCTGAGTTCAAAGCCAGCCTGCTCTACATAGTGAGTTCCAAGCCAGCTGGGGCTACAGAGAGACCCTGTTTCAAAAAGACCAAAAAAAAAAAAAAGAAGAAAACAAATACTGGTTCTGGAAGCAACATTTTTTGACACCCCTGGCAGATCATTTATATAAGAGGGATGTCTCTGTCTCTCTCTCTCTCTCTCTCTCTCTCTGTGTGTGTGTGTGTGTGTGTGTGTGTGTGTGTGTGTGTGTGTGTGTTGCTGAGGATAGAACCCCAAATCCAATATGCTAAACAAAGCTCTGATCCATTGAGCTACACCCCAGCCCTCAAAGGAATTTTCTACGTAGACTGGAAATTAGGTCATCCCTCGTAAAATTCCAGGAGAATTCCATACATAAAGATTAAATCCAAACTGGCCAGGTGGCACAGGCCTGCACTACCAGCACTTGGGAGGTGAAGACAGGAAGATTAGCAGTTCAAGATCAGCCTTGGCTAACAGCAAGTTCAAGGCCAATCTGCACAACTTTAAAAAGTGTAAGCCCCAAATTAAAACTCTGTATGTTAGAAAAAATAAAAAGGGTCTAGAGAGAAGGCTCAGCAGTTAAGAATGCATACCGGGCAGAACTTCCAGACCAGCCACAGCCATGTAGGTGTCCATAAGTCTGTCTGCTTTCCTGAACTCTTCAGGAAGGTGCAGTGTCTCCTTTTCTTCTTCATGCCTTTCTTACTAAACACTTTCTCTAAGGCTTTAGGCTGCCCCCAGCATCTTTTATTTCTTCACTTTTTCTCTAAAGCATCCTTCTCCCAGCCATGTGGCTGACCTCTATGCAGGCTCTAAACCTGCAGGGCTCCATGGCTTTCTTTCCTTCTTCCCACTATTCACCTCCTCAAGGCAGCTGTCAAGGTGACCAGCTTGCCTGCCCTGAGGATTTTTCTTTAAGATTCTATTAAAATTGTAAAAGCTAAAAAAAAAAAAAAAAAAAAAAAAAAAAAAACAAAAAAATCAAATAAAAAAAAAAAAAAAAAAAAAAAAAAAAAAAAAAAGAATGCATACAGTTCATATAGACCAAGTTCGATTCCCAGCACCCATATCAGGTGGCTTACAACCACCTATAACTCCAGTTCCCGGGGGATCTGATGCCTCTGATATCTATGGGTACCTGTATATACAGAATTAAAAATAAAATAAATATAAATAAATAAGTGAACCTCATATTTGCATTAAGTCCTTTTCCATTATATGTATACAAATGTTCCAAAATCCAAAAATTTCAAAGCTACAATATTTCTGTTCCCAAGTATTTTGAACAAGGTATACTCAATTTGCACTGGAAGTATGGAAAAAAACAAAGTGTACCTGTATTAAAATTAAGCTAGTCTAACATCAAAATAAATAAATACATAAAACTCTGTGTCAAGGAAATGGGAGGGGAATTTTAGTCTCACACAAGTCAAGGTCTTGCTTTTAGAAGAGAGAAACCAAACAAGCTGCTTCCTGGTTCAAATCTAACCAGAGTTCATACCCGGTTAAGGACATGTCACGGCCTGGGAGGGTAGGCTTCAAATGAGAAAGGAGGTGATTTGTCCATGCTTCCTGAAGAAGAGCCACATCCCAAGCCTATCTCCAGTTAAAAAAACACTTAAAGCTGGGCATGATGGTGCACCCCTTTAATCCCAGCACTCGGGAGGCAGAGGCAGGCAGATGACAATGACTTCAAGGTCGACCTAGTCTACATAGTGAGTTCCAGACCAGCTGGGAAACAGGGAGATCCCATCTCAAAAAAATACCAAAAAAAAAAAAAAAAAAAGTAATTAAATAAAAATTTCAAAACAGAGCTCTGTTGGCAGAGTGCTTACTTAGCATACAGGAAGCTCTGGGTTCCAGCCCCAGCACCCGGGGAATTGAAGGCAGGAAGTGCAAGGTCACATAGTCAGTGTGAGGCTAGTGTGAGATACATGAGACCCTGTCTCTAAACAAAAACAAAAAACCAACAGGGGCTGGAGAGATGACTCAGTAGCTAAGAGTACTGGCTGCTCTTGTAGAAGACCTGGGTTCTCATCCCAGCACCCACATGGTGGTTAATAACCGTCAGTAACTACAGGTCCAGGGGATCTGACGCCCTCTTCTGTCCTCCTTGGGCATTGCACAACACAGGTGCACTTACATACATGTAGGCAATATACACAAACATATATAATAAAAATAATAAATAAAATATTAAAAAACAATATATAACAGACCTAATGGAACATGCCTGTAATTCCAGCACTCAGGAGACTGAAACAGGAGGCTCATGAGTTCCAGGATAGCCTGAACTATACAGTGAGATTGTTTCATAAAATATTAACAAATCCATACACACACACACACACACACACACACACACACACACACACACTGGTCTCCTGCCTCTTGGCTTTAATAAATCTAAACATTTCAACATATGTGCTACATACCATCTTTTAAGAATTAAATTATAGCCGGGCATGGTGGCGCATGCCTTTAATCCCAGCACTCGGGAGGCAGAGGCAGGCAGATCTCTGTGAGTTCAAGGTCAGCCTGGTCTACATACTGAGTTCCAGGACAGCTGGGGCTACAGGGAGACCCTGTCTCAAAAAGACCAAAACAAAAAAGAAGTAAATTATCAGACAGCTGAAGGAGGTTCCTACGAAAGCCTTCTCACTTTGTTCTCCCTCAGGTAACCCTTCCCACATATTCACTGCCCATGAATTAAAAAAGTAGAAATCAATCGTAGAAATCAATCGTTGGAGTATGGGGGGAGCTGGAGAGATGGCTCAGCAGTTAAGAGCGTGCTTGCTATACATCTATCAAGATCCAAGTTCAGTGGTTTGGGGTTTAGCTCAGTAGCAAGTGCAGGCCCTAGGTTCAGTAACCAGCTTTCCCCAAATTATGAAGCCAGAGTTCAGATCTCTTACATAAACAAGCCAGAATCCCACAAAAACCTGTGACTCCAGCTCTGAGGGATCTGACACTTTCTTTTGCCCTCCATGTAAGGCTATATGAACACATGTATCTATACACATATGTATACATACAGCCACACACATAAATATACAGATTAAAAATTTAAAAACTCTTAAAAAGAAATCTCATCAATGACTTTTGTTCTTTTAAACTTTAAATAAATGGTATCACTCTAGACTTAAAATTCTAGAACATTTTTGGGCCAGAAAAGTAGCTTAGCAAGTTAAAGTACTTGATGCCAAATCTGATGGCTTGAGTTCCATCCCCAAGACACCGTGGTGGAAAGAGAGAATAAATTCATCCAAGATGTCCTCTGACCTCCACATAAGTTGTCTTCTGACCTCCACACATGCTCCATGACACTCAAATGCTCCCACACACTAAATAATCTTTTAATTCTACAACTCTTATCATCACTTGTATTCTCAAATACATGTACTGATTTGTTTTGCTTATATTTATTATCTACTTTTCTATTTATCTTTCTCTCATTTATCTATTTTAAAAAATCATTTTATTTACGTGTATGGGTGTTTTGCCTACATGTCTGTATATGTACCATATGAGTGCCTGGTGCCAATGGAGGTCAGAAGAGGGCATCAGATCCTCTGGAACTGGAGGTACAGGCAATTGTCAGCTACCATGTGGATGCTGGGAGCCAAAGCCAGGTCCTCTGTAAGAGCAGCAAGTTCTCCTCATTGCTGACTATCTCTCCAGCCCCTATTTTTTTCTTTCCTTAGCCATTTAAACTTTTTTTTTTCTTTTCAACATGAAGATATATTTCATAACACTGCAGTGACAAAAAATGGAGCACCCCGTGAATGTACATGTTACCCTTGCGAGGGGGCCATGCTAATCTCGTATCATTCCAAGTTTAGTATGTGTGCTGCTGAAGCAAGCGCCCCTATTTAATTTTTATTTATGGCAAGGCTTCACTCATCATGGAGACTGGACTCAAACTCAGAGCAACTGATCTCTGCCTCAGCTCTGGGATTACCACCGTGTACCGGCACACCTGGCCTCGTTTGACTCTTGTTTGCTGAACATTTATGTCATCTCCAGGACTGACTCACAGCTAAAACCCCCAATCTACTGCTTTCTGATTTCCTTCTTCCCTTCCTGGAGCTGGCCTCGCATGGCGAGTGTTCTTTCTGCTCCCCTTCCCTTCCCTTTTAAAAATATTTATTGGTTTTTATTTTATTTTTATTTTATGTGTATGAGTGTTATTGCCTGCAAGTGTGTAAGTGCACCCATGTCGTGCAATGCCTGTGGAGGTCAGAAGAAGGTATTGAATCCCCTGGAATTGGAGTTGTTAGCCACTATGTGGGTTCTGAGAATCTAACCTGGGTCCTTGGCAGGAGTATCCTGTGCTCTTAATTGCTGAGCCATCTTTCCAGCCCCATGATAAGAACATTTACTAAGAGTTCTATGCTTTCAAAAATTTCAAGTCAGGACCAGAAGTCATGGTACTCAACTTTAATCCCAGCACTCCGGAGGCAGAAGCAGGTGGCTCTCTGTGAGACCAAAGCCAGCCTGGTCTATATAGTGTGTTCCAGGCCAGCCAGGGCTACAGGGAGATTCTGTCTCAAAAAATTTTTAATTTATGTTTATCTTTATTT